CGTACTTAGTGGATTCAGAGCATTTTTGGTTCCATCAGGTGCATATTTTAGTTATACTACTTACGTTACACGGTTGGCCGGTTTTTTCATTCCATAACGTAATGCTCAAAGTCCTCAATAGGGTTATTTATTTCACCAAAGACGGACGGCGAGAATATCAACCGGACAATGTTGATGAAAATCAAAACGGTGCTACTGGCATTCATTTGAGTCCTAATCCTATCAAACGAACAGAAAGTGCTTTTACACTGCTGTTATAAACTTACGGTCAGTAACCAACCACGCATCGACTTTTGTGGATCGCGAGAGCACTTTGTTTGATGAAAACGGATAAACCGTGTCTGAGTGGTCAATTAGGCGAACGCCGGAGATAAAATCTCTCAAAAACTGCATCGACAAACTTATTTTTCTAGCCAAAATCTGTTCAATAATATACCAAGAGAGTAAATTTTATTCATTTTGGAATTCTAGCATTTGTCTCGTTCTCTTTACTCAAGGTGAAGTCAACAATCCTAATACAGCAACTGCGGTTAGTTCAACCCACGGAAAACCGTTTAGGCCTTTGGAAATAAAAAAAATCAATTCGTATGAAAAGTACTCGATTTTCTTCATTCCAGTTCTTCAAATTAGAAAACAGAAAACGTGTGCAGAATTTCAAACAATAAACCGATTGAAAATAGCGTCAAACAGATGCCATACTCTGTAGTGTTGACAAACATGGCTTCAACGACAGTGGAACTAATAGGTCTTGCTCGGAATTAGAATAACCTCAAAACCTATGGCTCACTGGTCATGGATAGTTAACGATTATTTCACCAAAACCAGTGTGATGATTTAATAGCCGGATACAACTGTTCCTGTGATTTCGAGAAATTCCGAAATTTCATGACGGATATTATTTCACGAAAATCAACGGACAACGGATGAAAGAAGAACATCGAACAGATCCAGCTAGGTTCACTTGAATAGGAAACAATTTAAATGCCATTAGGCTCTGTCATTTTCCATTGATAAGGATCAGGGTATACGGCCAATACGGCACGTAGTAAAGGGACCCGCCAAGTAAGCGATCGCGGGTGAGTGATATCAATGATCAAAGTGATCAGCACACAAATGCTCAGGTGAAGCTAGTTCAATGCGTAGAAACTTCCTGGTAATAGTTTTATGAAATCACTCACAAAAGCTTCTCGATCTAGGTCGCCGATTGTGATGGTAATTGGTAAACTGTTCACCTCTCTTCTGTTTTTTGAGTGACGGGGTGTTTCGGGATGCTGACAATCTTGCAAAGTACTTTGTACTTGGAGAGTGTAAAGTGCCATCATAGCAAGACTGTATCTTGGCGTGGTGGCTTGCATGCCTCCATGACGCAGGATGACTTACTAAACCTGGAGATGCTATCATGCCTAACACTTCAATGAGTCGAAGCCAGATGAAATCCAGTCTGTCTGAAGCAGATTTGAGGTAACACCTGGTTCTGGCCAAATTCACCCTGAAAACGATACCCCGGTGAATAAACACAAAGAGAAACAGTCTACCGGCGTAAAAAAAACAACCACGAAATGGACGTAGTAGTAGATTACTTGGGGTTTTTGTCGACTGTGGGAGAAGTCATTGCCATTCATTGGGCAACTACTTCCCACCAAATCTGGGCAACCCCCGACCCAAAGGATGCTGCCCCGTCCACCTTCTGCATGGGGCTAGAACTGAATCTGAAAAGCGGATCAATACTACAGCACCAGCAGAGAAAAATTGCTTGCAACAATCAGGTCTCACGTGACAGACCAAAAGAAGTTCCCTCACGGGTGCTTTGGTCACGTAGCTGGGTTACCGCCCTACTGTTTTGTGGGTCAGACTTTAAAGCCGAAGGGTTACCACAGAAAAAACAATTTTTTTGGCGTAGGCAGAAGCGGAGTGTGATTCGCCCAGAATCCTCCAGCATCTTTTCTACAAAGGGCCTTATTACCTTCTCCTCTCGCCTTTCACTTAAGATCGATGCAAATCGCCACAGGTTGTTCCGACACTAGAGGATGGAATAGATCAGGAGTCAGGCATGAATCAGACGAAATTCCTAACCCCACATATTCGCTTCAGTTGGCTACCTTGACCGGTCGCACACTGCATCAGATAGGGCAACAGGCTCCCCTTGCCAGAATTTGAAGTGTTTAAACAGATGTATGCGGTCTTTGCAACGCTCAGACAAAGCTCCACTTCTGTGATCACTCCTCTCTCCCCAGATATAACCCCAGCCTCTCTCTTTACTTACGGCCTGTCGGATGATCCTATGTCTAATGTCCGTAGCCAGGCAAGCGATGGAACTGCTTTGAGCACAAGAGCTGAACGTGCGCTGACAGACTGCGTCCCAGTCAATAGTCCTTTGCATGCAGTTCAGTTAGACCGTTCTGTGGTTATCAACGGCAACAGACCGAATTATCGATGCTTCATCGTCGTGTGCGTATACGCCCACTGACTGCAGTTACTCTGAGACCAAGGACAAATTCTACCACAATATATCTGAGCTGCTTCGAAGAGTGTGTGTGTGTGGTGGTACTGATCGTTGCTGGGGATTTCAACGTCCAAATTGACTGTTTGGGAGATTCCAAAAGATACAGTGAAGGTCCGTTTGCTACCCCGGTCGATCGCACTGACAACGGTGATCGTCTCGCCTAACTGAGCTCTGACCATAGACTGCTTCCGGTTAGTAGGATCTTCTGCCATAAAAAGCGACATAGACTGACATGGAGTCCCCCTACTCGTTCAGTACTTTGGCTCAGATTGACCATATTGTCATGGGTCTCCTCTTGCGTGGGTCAGTCGAAAATTGCCTATCATTTTGGTCTACGCGTGGTGATTCAAATCACGCCTTGGTACGTGCTCGCTTCTGTTCACGTCTCGTCCGTGTTCGCACCAATGCTAAAGTCACCTGTCACACACCGTTGCATCCAGGCAATTACCAACGGTCTACGTCCAAACAAAACTGTTTGTACGATTATCGATGCAGCCAGATGTCCATAACCCAGATGAACACTGGCAACAGATAATAGAAGCTTTGTATGCCGTTTCCAATGACACACAAGACTCCGATTTCTGCAGATTACACAAACGACAAATACCTTCAGTATCAGTTGGTCTGCTAGATGCTTGCTGATCCGTCACTCCTGATGCCACATTCAATGAGGTGTGTAAATCCCTTTGATGCCAACTAACTGGAAGCCTGAGAAATGACCATGAGCAATGGTGGGCTGCGAAATGTGGAGGAATGGAGAAGGCAGCCTCTATTGGTATTAGTCGCAAGCTTTGCCGTTTGATTAAAAGTATCGATCCGTGGAGGCTGGTGCTAGTGATTTATTCAAGAAATTCGACGGTCGATGGATTCGCTCTCGGGGACGTCGTCTGAACCGCTGGGTGGAGCACTTTATGGAACAGATCAGTTTCAAACCTCTAAAGTAGACTTTCCAAATATATTCGGAATAGAAACGATGCAGGTGGATATCATTCCTTCATAAGAAATAGAAGTTATTTGCAAGAGAGGTTACTTGAAAAAGTACAAAGCCGCTGGACCTGATGAAATGTTTCATTTGTAGTTCAAGGATAGAGGTGACGCTTTGGTTTCAGGATTAGCAAAACTCATCCTGATAATCTCGGATAGTGAGTGGATTCCCAGGGAATGGTGTGAATCAGTGATTGTGCCGATTTAGCAGAAAAGTGGCAGGTCCCAGTGTGAACACTAGCGAAGAATTGACTTCGTAAAAATCGCATCCAAGCTGCTAGCTGAGATTATTCTTCACCGATTAACCAGCACACGCGAATCAAGCCGGTTTCAAACCTGGTAAGGGATGTATTGATTACACCTTTACTCTTCGACGACTGTTTTATCACAGGCACACGTCACGTAGGTCCACAATCTCTATCTTTCTTGGTCTTAAAGCGATATTCGACTCAGTCTACTACACGGTCCTTTAGAGCTGGTTCTTATTGAAGGGTGGGCCAGAGAAATGTATCTATGTTTTCCCATCCCTGTATGCGAACAGCTAAATCCGAGTTCGTCTTTGCGGCAATCTCTCATCCGAGTTCCTCGTGAGAAGTGGTGTTCGCCGGGGTTTCCCTCTTTCACTCTTCCTCTTCAATTGTGTAATTGAAACGGTTCTCAAGATAGCCTTATCCTCGTGTAAGAATAGCGGCATCGACCCGTGCTCAGACAGTAAACTGTCAGACATAAAATATGCGGACTACATCATTTTACCGAGGAAACACCCAGACCAACTGCAAGGTGGCTGCTAAATGTGTTACGCATGCACTCCGATAGACTTCCTCGGCGTACGCTATTCTGTGAGGTCAGTATTGATTGGAAGATAGATTGATGTGGTCAGTCCATGATATGGCAAAAGGTATGAAAACCTTGATCGGTGGATTTGGCCAAGTAGGACGTGTTAGACTTCTAGGTTGGGATCCACGCGACCCACCTATCAGACGATTGGAATCATAAAGTGATATGATTCGGTGTCGCGGCCAGTGATGCAGTTGCATTCGGACTCTTTCTTTGTCCTCTTGATTTCCGCTTATTACTTTGAATTCTTTGGGTCTCTTCCTCTTCATGCTTTGATTTCGTTGGCCGTTTGCCGGACGATCCTGGAAGGTAGCAACCGAACCCATAGCACAGGTTAATGGTTGAATAAACTGAAACTGTGTAGGTCACATGAGCATGCGTGTGTGTAGAGAGGGTCTAGGCGGGTGGGAGGTTGAGGACCACACCGGGATCGGCAAATTTTAGCAGATGAATCAATTCCAGATTTTCAGATCTACCAAACCGGACTTCGCCACATAACCCCCTTATTCTCTGTCTCTCTCTCTCTCTATTTTCTTTCTGGTCCTGTATGTTTAGTTCAGTTTCATGATAACAGTACCTAATACAGTCTGTTACAATTGCCACAATCTTGGTCGGTTCAATATGAATAACATTTTCAACAAAAGCCGAATGAATAATGAATCAAGCACATTATTACCTTTGGGATATGGCGGAAGCCCTGAAAAACAAAAAAAAAGAACAGAGAAGGATGGAAGTAAGATCCAATCACAATTCCTTCGTAATAAGTAGATACCGCGTTGAATGCGACTGATAGCTACAACAGTTGATGTACCAACCCCAGAAGTTGTGCCGTACAATCTTTCGTTTTGATTATCCGTGGTATTTGAAGTACGGTGCAAGTCAGAGGCTATCAGGGGTCTGGATTCAAAGATGTTCAGATCTCCACCATTGCCGGTCAACGTTTCCTTTACTTCGACTGGTTTCCATACCGAATCTACTAAGGTCATTTGTTTTTATTCATAGCAGGCGTCAGAGTAATGTTTACGGGCCTTTCTTGACAGTCTGATCCACCTGTAAGGCCTCTTTGAATTAGTTGCTTCTTTCAAGGCATTTATACACTTGCACATAATATAAAAGTGATATGTATTGACCGGGTAGTGGAAGATCCACACACACTTCATGAAGATCAATAAGCTCGAGCGTTATGCCACCAGGATTTACGTTTATGGTGTTCCGCAGCTCAACATAATATGAGGTATCGAACATCCGTCAGTGTCACTCTAGACAGAGGCTATCACTACACATCACGATTCGCTCTTTGTTGAACGTTTCTTGAGCTTCGGATCAGAGCAGGAGGAATATCCTCGAATTAAGTAATCAGCCGATGGAGTTTTCATTGCTGCTATGGCGTATCCATTCAAAAAGTGAAGACTGTAGGCATAGGAAACAGCGAATTCAGTGTAAACGACCCACAATATCTAGCAACCCACGTATGTCGAGGGGATGCATCAAGGTCGAGAACGCTTTAACGGGATCCACAGTGTCATCGATCTCGACTAATTGACGAAAGCCTGTCGATGTGGACCCGTGAAGCAGTCGAGTTTCGCGAGTTAACCTGGCCCGCTGTGTCTAATAAATACATTGAGGGTGGTTTTGGTCATTAAAGTTCTCAGCGGTATGTACTATTCCATAATTACGCACGAGTATAACGGATGAAGCCAACTTAAAAGATACGAGGAATATGTATACCGCTATTGATAAGAGTCTAGAATCTTGAATTGGGACTTCACTCAGTGGGACATAATTAGGTCCAGATAAATGACGTGTCACAGCAAGCCATACTAGTAAAAGCATGCGTACCAACCGCAATTCCCAGTTTTCAAATGACCAATTACCATTACAAAATGATCCATGAATTTTTACCACTAAATATCCTGTTTTTGTCTCGTGCTACTAAAAACAAGGTAGCTGGTGAGATGTAATGAGATTTATTTTAATAATAATAATAATAATATGCACACAAAGTGTTTGAACTCACGTGGATAAGGGGCTTGCTCCGTAGTCTGTAGACCAAAAGGGGGCGGGAAAGAAATTGACGAAAATTACGTGAATCGATTCACAACTTGATTCCACTGACGTGCCACTCGGGAATAAATCATTGTAAACTGCATGTCCCATAACTTTTTTACTAATTGCTTATTATGGTGAACTTTTTTTACCTTCAACTTCAGCCATCTCGACGGAAGGATCATTGTGGTTTTTTTCAAACCTTTCTCCAAATATCTGGTCGTGATGAATTCCTTTTTCCGGTTGGAAAGTGTGAACAAGTAACTTTTCGATGGATCATGAAACATAACAAATGAGTCTGTTTTCGTTCGTTTCTACTCATTTCAATATACACGCTATATAGAATTATTCTTAAGTGCGACAAAGAAGAAGGGTTGTGAAATGGAATTGATTTGTGTAGCTAGAGTGAAATGACCTCAGAAGACGGATTAGCACCTTTGTTTTGAGGTATTTCGAGTGTTCCAGTCTTTCGTTCTCCAATCTCCAATCATCTCCAATCTGTGGTTCATATCTGGCGTTAGGCTAACATCTATGGTTCAAAAAAAACTGTTTATTCAAACACTGATCATATACCATAAAATCTTTTTTCGGGCAGACTGAACTATACAGAGGGTAGAAGAAAATTTTGTATCTCAACAATTCCGTGCTCCTGAGTATACGATTCCAACTTTAACGAAACGTCCGGAGTAGATTCAACGGTCGTATTGCCAATGATTTAACGAAATTCAGGAGGGTATGCATCCAAGTTGGGTGATTCAACGAGTTAACGTATTCTATTCAGTATTACCGTGTTACAGAAGGCGCGAATTTGACCTATGATTAGAGGTGTGTCCAAGACCTTAACGACCGAATGAGGTTTCGTTCATCATTTTCGTTCTTTGGCAACTGGATGAAACGTCGAAAAACGATCGTGTGTTGAGGTTTTCACCCGGCGTTTCTATGTATTTTATGTGTTGGTGCTATCCTTGTCTTTTGATCTGGTTTAAATACACATTCACCCAGATACCTAATAATTTGGCTTTGCAGAGATCTTTAGATATGGTGGGTTCTGTGCCTCGGAAGGCATTGATATATAGACCAGCAATATGGCTCGTTAAGGATTATTTCAAATGAAATGCGGATAAGAAACTGAAAGACGGTCCTGAGAGTCCCATGAAACTCATCGGGATTGTAATATCGAGTCGATAAAAAGTACTTTTTCGTGTCTGGAATCACTATCCGTGGACTGCACCAGATTTGATCAGCTGAACAATCTACTAATACTTAAAAATGACGCACTGCTTTTCCACTACAAATAATCAGTTCAAATAACAGGTACTTTCACACTCGGATCCCCAGTCACAAATTGTGTTATACCTAACTCTTTGGCTCGTAGTCATTTCAAAAGTCACTCTATTACCAAAAATATCCTCGTCACAAATAAGAGGAGTAAGGAAACCCCGGTAACTGGTACGATCTAACCGGAATAACTTATGATCACCCGAAACTTTCTGCAGATTTCGTTCAGGAAATGGGGAAGGACAAGCGAGCTCTTAGTGGTAGTCTATAAACCTGTTTAGGTAGGATGACTCTGTACTGAAGACCCCGCCAAACTGTTGGTCAAGCCGGATATTCAAACGTCACCAATCAAGTTGACGTTGCCAGTCTAGTAGTGATGGTATAATTCAAATAAGTTGCTGTGATGTCTTCTCATTCGTTATTTAGTTGTCCTTCGCTCGCACTGAGCTCTTAGACAGACTCAGCTAGAACTAGCAAGATGCACTGTTCACAGTGGCCTGTTTCTAGCACCGATTGGTTTGGTCGGATCGCGTTCTGCATGGTTCTCTCTGGTGGATCATTTGACTAACCCAGTACACCCACGTGGTCTACGTCGGGTGGTTTGCTCATCGATCTTTCCGCGGAGTTTCAGGTTTCTATTGCCTCAACACGACTCCTGATGAAACTTCTGCAACCAGACTGCTCATCTGGAGAAGCGAACTACACCAGTCTGGTGAATCTGATGATTTACGTGAAAAAACATCATTCTCGACTCTTCTGTCCGGAATATTCGTTTTGGAAAAGATTAACTGGGCATTTTTTTCTACAAGGTAATGCGTCAATGTGATGGTAAGCCCTCGAGAAGGATGCAAGTGGATTCACAACAAGTGTACATTTCATTGTCTCCAAAACGAATCCGAAGGAAGAAATCAAGAACTGTAAGTTACTGTTCCACACAGTCGAACTGTGTACCCTACGAACACAGCCCACAGAACACTTTGATTATATGCAAGTACATATTTCTGTAATGCAATTTATGTGGACTGTCCGACCAAGTGCCCGTTCAGTTCTATCTGTGAACTCCATCTGGTGGTAACTAAGTCATTTACTATCTGATGATTAAAGACTCAGTGTGACTGTCTACCTTTACCCCGTCAATGAACTCGATGAGCGCTTCCGAATTACCAGATAAACTTAACTGGTCCCTCAACGGTGATTACGTTGTTCTAAGACTAGGAATTTGTGCGAAAATGCCGGGACAAATGATTTTTAGAAGCTCAGCTGTTTCCATTTTAAAGCAGCTTCGATTAGATTTTTGTTAAGAATTATCGAATGTACCTTTGAAGTGATTGATCGTTTGTCGACTATAGTGATGTTTCATGAGACTGGCTGACCGATCAAATATTGCGAGGACTTGTAGGCGGTTGTTGCTGTCATTTTGCTTCCTGTTCGTTCTTTTGGAATCATAGCGTTGACCAAATGGAAATCAGAGTATGTTTGGTCCGGGGTACAACGCAATTCCATAAATCTCGGGTAATTCTGTTGGTCCATTTTAGTTCAGTTTCTACTGATGTGTTTGGCTAACTTTTGAAGTATGTTTCACAATGGATGCAGAGGTTCATTTGGCTTTTATTTATCCAACAGTGGCCATCAACGAGCCCGATCACGTCATTTTCATCGGTCAGTGGAATCACACGTGCACCGTGTCAGACTGCATCAGCCTGGGCACTTAGTACTATCCGCTCTGTTCGGAAAGACAGATTACACTCTCATATATCAATGGTGTCCATTATTGAACTAGCCCACTGGATGCCGAATGATATCCCCAGTTTGCACGCTTCTCTTCTTTTAAGGCCCACTTTCTCATAAACCACCGATCACTGAACCTGGGATTTAAACAGCAAATTTTTCATCACCAGTCAAAGTGGCTCAGTCAGACTGGTGACGAGACGCTTTTGACTTAAAAGCCCTAGTTCCTACGATCAGAAATCTATGAAAATCATCGACCTGAGCTACAAAACACCACCTTTTTAATGCCATTCGGCATGCACCTTCTCTGTATGGTGAACTGTAAAGTGTGGAGCAACATACTATTCTGATCCTGGTCAGAGCACGAAAGCTCCCCGGGGGCAGGCATATTGGAATCTTGGTATTTCGTCTCATTCCTCTGTGACACGGGTCTATCGCCCATCAAAACGAATCGTTCCAGAATGGGCGTTTCGTGCCTTTGCACTAGTGAAGAACAAAGTCAGAACTCATTGAAAGCATTATTGATTCTCATTTTTGGTACCACGGACCTACTTGATCCTTCATGTAATGAGATAGCTCCCGAGGACAGGGAAGTTTGTCTAATATTTCACCATAAAGTATCAGCGCTTACCTCATCATCAAAAACCCCCGGAAATATTGTGAAGCTATTTCTTCCGTGTCAGGAATTATCATCAGTGCAAATCATCCAAGTTCGAACTGGACTGAAACCTTTCGGTGTCAGCGGCGGACAACCCGTATACTATATATTATTAGCGCAAAACGAACCGTTGAGTTCCATTACATTTAGTCTAGTGGTTATGTGTGTATATGCGTGTGTGAACCACATTCATGCACTGTAGAAACACGATGTCTGACGCGCATCGGATGTTTTCATCTCCAAATTTATGTCTATTTGAAATTTAACATTCTGACGTGCGGTGGTCAAACAGTTATCATCATGAACTTTGGACAATAACGATCCGGGTTCGACTCCCGACACCGTCAGTCGGTTTCTCATTTGGCGGTCTTGCACTGGCCGCGGCCCCCTTCCTGAACTGTTGTACACTATTGTATAACCAATAATAAAGGAATTTAGATCACGCGATTGGTTGCGAGTAGTGTGTAGGACTGACGAATCTGTGTCTGATTGACTGCCCTTTGGACTCCAAGTTTCCCGCACAAACCTCAGGTCATCCGACCAACCTGCACTCGGAAGCACCAGACTCGGGTTTCGCTCCTGTTAGAGCTCATCAGTAGTGCATATCCTCCGCCAGGGTTTGAACTCGGGCCCTCCCATCTCGAAGGCATGTTTGTTACCACTGCGCCACCCTACTCCCGTTCTTGCTGATCTGAATCACCAAGTTAAACTTGTTCAGATGTCGTCCCCCATTGACAGCCAGAAATGCCCGACAGCTTCAAATAGAGGCATGGTGGAGTACAAAGGGCAGTCAACCAAGCAAAAATGAAGGAATTAGAAAGGGTATAATGCTTCTATATTTTTTCATACTTTTGGAGGAACGAAAGACAAAGTAGATTCAATCCATTTTGGAATTTCACGCCAAAATGTAAATCAGGACTAAGTTTTATGACCTTGATGCGGTCTGTTGCACGTACGTGGAAATTATCCCATTGAAAGTCAGGCTCAATCAGACTATCAACTCACCTCTAAGCGACTTGTTCGTTTATAGATAAGCTAATCCAGTATATTCAGAATGGCTCGTTTTAATTGATTTGTAATTCATCGCTGATCTGAATGAATTACGATCAACGAATCAATTAAAACAGGCCATTCTGAATACGCTGGGTTTGCACATCTATAAGCGAACAACTCACTTAAGGGTGAGTTGATATTCTGATCCCGCCTGACTTTCAATATGATAATTTCTTCGTACATACAATAGACTACATCAAAACCCTAAAACTTAGTCTTGGTTTACGTTTGTGTGTGACACACCAAAATGAGTTCTATCTGAACTTGCTAACAAGTGGC